CTCTCTCTCTCTCTCTCTCTCTCTCTCTCTCTCTCTCTCTTGTGTCATCAGAACTCCGACTACCGTCTGCTGGTGGCCTGCTGCCTGGTGGAAGTGCTCCGAATCTTCGCCCCCGACGCGCCCTACACCGACGACCAAGTGCTGGCCACGCTCTCCCTCATCATCACGCAGCTACGAGGGCTCGGCACCGCGGCCACCAAGCCTCGCGAGGAGCGCACGGTGAGATAGCCGTTGAAGCTCTACCCCCGTAGGGTTGCGCAAGGAGGGGGAGGGGCCTTGGTTGTTTGACCTTCAACCTCAGGGGGGGGGGAGGGGGGGATACCCACATGGTTTGCATTCCTTAGTTCTTTGACGTTTGGCCGACAGGAGTATTCGTGCAGGATGGGTGTGCGGGGTACTCGTGTCTTGCATGCCTTGGATGTTTTGTCTTTTACCAGAGGGGGGAGGGGTTGGATGTATTTGGAGGGTGGTGATCGTTTTTTTTGTTGTTGTTGAATCTTTTTGCCGTCGTCGTGGCTAGACCGATTTTGCCCACGGGAGTCTCACCAGATACAGAGAGAGAGCATTGGTCACTCAAGGTGAGAAGGTCTCGTCGACATGTAGCGGGGGGGGGTTACAGTTACGGCTGTCGCCACCGCCGCCGCCGCCGCCGCTACCATTTTTCATTGATGCTATTGTCGATGCTGTGGTCGTGACGTTGTTGTTGTCGTCCCTCCACTGCAGCCGCTTTGGTGCTTTAAAGTACATCGTCGCAAACCCGACCATGCGTGCGGCATGGCTCCAACCCCATCCCCCGTCCCTCTCTGTCGCCCGCTCCTGGCTGCTGGTTTGGTGCGTGCCGCGGCAGCACCTGACGTATCACCTGCTGGAGTCCCTGGCGAACTGCAAGTCGTGCGTGATCGTGGCCCTGCTGGCCAACGAGGGAGTGCCCGGAGGCCTGGAGCAGCTGGTGGAGATGTTTGAGGTCTTGCTCACGGGGGTTCGCCCCGAGCACAACGAGGTACAGTCATATTAGTAGGCCCTCTGTAAGGTGGGTTGTACAAGGCGGGTGCCCGCTTTAGGGCGGGTGAAGTTGGCAGGCACTGGTGGAGTATTGAAGACGGTTAATGCATTAATAGGGCGGGTGCCCTGTACAGGGCGGGTGATTCGGTCTGGCGCATATCCGCCTTTCAGAGGGCCTACGACTGTACGCACACAGTAGCATTAACAGTATAGTAACAACGACAGCAACAGTATTTTGACCCGTCAGGACAGGATTCTGCTTGTAGTGTTATGAGACGTTCAACCGGACCTGGGTTTAATTTTTTGTGAGATTCTCGGCGTTTTTTTGCCATCGACGGCGCAGGTTGGGTGCATGTTTTGCGAATAGATTCGGCTCGTGCTTTGATTCCGGGGGTGTTTCACATCATTGGCGTATTTTTGTTGTGGAATGGGGAGGCATTGTTCGCACGAAGCTACGTCCAGTCAGGAATGGAAGGCTTTGAAGGACAGCGATACAAGGATGCCGATTGCTGATGGCGTCGAACACTAGGTGACTAGTATTGCTTGCCCGTGTTCACGTGCTATATTGCGTTGTGCAAAGATGGTATTTCCGGTGAGGCGTTTTTCATGCAGACCAATGACATTGTTGTCCTCAAGCAAGGTGTTGAAGATGATAATGTCGCCGTCAGACGGCCCTGCTCACGGGGGTGGGAGTGTTGACGACGGCAGAAGCAATAATCGTTACTGAAGTGCGCCTCACGATCTCACAAAAGAGGACGTTGGACTGCTGCCGCTGCTGCCGTGTGGTAGACGAAGCACATGTCAACTAACAACACCGTGCCGGCTGCCGAGTTTTCTTCTACAGGGGATCCAGGAGCTCATCCTCGAGACCCTCCAGCTGTGCATTGGCGAGCTCCACGCGATGCCCCAGCCCCTCCTGGACACGATTCTGATCCAGCTGCTGCCTGTGACGAAGAAGGAGAACCCGACCAGCTACAACCTCGCGGCGGTGAGATAATGGCGGAGGGATTTCGTATCGGCATGGGGCACCGGTTTCTGTGCTGCTGCCTGAATAGCGTTGTGTATGGTACTGCCACCCAACCCTCTCGGCTCCTGCTGTTGCCGACCCTCCCCCGTGTTGTTTCCCTTGTCACCCACTTCCTAGCGTGACTACTGTACTCCTATTTTCAACCTCGCCGCCGCTGCTACCACCGCCCTTTTGGCATTGCATCCACCCGCCTCTTCTGCTGTTTGTTTGGATGGATTCTTCGGCACTTGTTCCTATCCTCTCCGTGAACGATGGTCCTTTCGTGAGCGATGTCCGCTGCATCACCGATCAACCGTTACACGCCATGCTTCGATGCTCGATGCCTGACGACGACAGGAGCTGCTCAACGTTACTCTGGCGAAGGTGCAGACGCCCATCTCCCACTTGGTCAGCAGCATGCTTTCGGGAGCACGGGGTGAGCGGGAGTGGGGGGGGTCGCCTGGTTCGCTTGTGGGGCTGGGCAGAGTACGAGAAGAGCATGCCGAAAGGACTCGGAACAGTTGTTCACTTCTGCGGTCGTGTACGATTGCTGTGTGGCCTTGGCCTCGTTGTTGGCAAGCTCGTATCAGCAAGGGGAAGATATTCCGGCCTGCTTTAGCTCACACGGGAGCCGACAGCAGCGAGTTGAAATATGAACGTTACCCACGGCAACTTTTCATTCCCAAAACAGAACTGCTTGAACTGTACTAGTGCTTGTACTACACGACGACAACTAACGACGAGACCAGCAACCATCAACAACGGCAACCAACCACAACCCCATCCACATCCACAGCAGCAGCAGCAGCAGCAATGTTGGTATCCTGTGCCCCGCTAAACGTTACAACCGCAGGCGGTGCAATCGAGTCCGAGCTGAAGGAGCACGTCATCCCCCTGGTGTTCGAGCTGCACAAGGTGACCCCCAACATGCTCACCTTCATCCTGCCCGAGGTGGCCGAACAGCTCAAGGCCGAGGACGTCGATGTGAGCGTCGACATTAACATTCACCTACCGAGGAAGGGCAGGCGGGGGGGGTCGTACGCATGTCTTCGCATGCCTTAGCTATCAGACCATCGGCCACAGGGCGGAGCATCGTTCCCACAGGACCGATGGCCAATAGTTCCTTCCTGCTTTGCCACGGGTGGGGTAGGATAGTTTGCACGACCGGGATGCATTGATATGCGGGCGCTGTCCGCCCTTTGGTTATGATAGCGCCAGCGATGTCGTCGCGCAGCGTTTTCGCCAACGACCTTTGGTTAGCGTCAGCGATTCCGTCGCGGATGACGAGGCGGGGGGCGGGGAGAGCGAGCGGGGGCATGCAGTCCAGTCCTCTCCGCGCTCTCGTGGTTGTTTTCCTCCGCATGATGGAAACGACGCAATGTACTTTACCAGCAGAAGGGGGGGGGGCGTATCTCAAATACCCTTATACCAACAACACCAGGGGCCCCGTATCTCAGTAATCCTTATGGCGACAACGATCCTTATCCTTGTAATAACAACGATCCTCCCTATCGGGATGCGTGGCGGCCAGTGGTCCAAATGCCCAAGGCTAAGCACTGAAGTACGATATTTCCCACCTTGCGCGCGTACGTTTGTCTTTCCCCCGCCCTTTAGGTGCGCTCGGGCGCGTGCGCCCTGCTTGGGAGATTATTCTCATCGCCGAGGGCCGAATACGGGGTCGAGAAGCCCGCCATCTGGGCTTCTTTCTTGGGGAGGTTCATCGACGCCGATGTCGGAGTGAGTCATTTTTTTTTTTTGCTTGTTTGGCTTGACGGGACGAGTTTGGTGATTGTTGCTTGCTTGTTTGCCTTAGCGGGGTGAGTTCATTTCTATATGGTTTGCTTTGTCTTGACGGGACAAGTTTATTTTTTTTGCTTGCTGGTTGGCCGTAAGGAAGTGAGCGTATGTTGCTTGCTTCCCTTCATGGAGTGAGTTTTTTTTTTTGTTCGTTAGTGTGCGTTGACCGAGTGAAATCTGTTCTTGGTTGTTTATGTTTGCCTTTGAACGCACGTGCGAGACGCATCGCCTCAAATATCACACAGGAATTCCGGTCTTTTGTGCCAGCGTCAACGCGGCCTATTTCGTCCCTTACTTGCCTTTTGATTCTCCTTGTTCCTGACACGCCCTGTCTAGCCGCCGCCACCGCCCGCTGTAACGTACCTACCGCGCGTTCTCTCCGCGCCCCCCCCCCTTGCAAGATCCGACGAACCATGGTTGACGCGGCTACCCTTATCATTCACCGCAAGCCGGCTCTGCGAAAGGACTTGTACTCGCCCATGACCCTCCGGTTGCAAGACCCAGACCCGAATGTAAGAGAAGCAGGGGGGGAGGGTTCTGGTTTCCCACGTTGCCTCGCCTTGACGGAGGCGTTCTGGCCGGTCCGCCTCTTAGCGTTATCGCTATCCCCTATTTCCCGCCGGCAACCCTTGGTTTTTCGGGATCGCGGCGTAATTTTTGTTTTGTGGTGGTGCGAAAGGCTGCAGTCTTGTTACGTACCTTCAGTAGGAGAGGATCGGTTGTGGATCGTAACGGGAGGGGGGAGCCGTGTCGGGGGTGTATTGGGGGGCTG